CTGATCCAATGGTTCCTTAGACAGTGCCGTCACCGCAGTCTGGGCCGCTCCCGTGCGTGCCTTGGGGCCTCTCGGCTGCACGTGCGCCTCGTCTCTGCCGCGCCTTCGGGCGCAGAGCAGTGCTGAGCGCCTTCGTGGGCAGACTCGCCGTCTTTCATCGGCGGCGAGAGATGGGGGGAATGATAACCCCTAACCCCGGATAGTAGAGTATACCCCCCCTTAACCCCTGAGTGGTTATTTTCCCCACGTGAGGCAGATTTGGCTGTGGAGAGGGGCGGCGAGGCCGAACTTGATTATCGCGGGGAGAAGTTGCGAATCGAAAGTGTTATCCTCTTATGTTGGCTAGTAACATCATCAGAGACGTTGAGCATGGCAATGGAGGGTTCACCATGTCAGCTTTCGCTGGAGGCCTCACCACCACCACCATCACCACCACCACCACCATCATCATCATCATCATCATCATCATCATCATCATCATCATCATCATCATCATCATCGTCATCGCCATCGTCATCGTCATCGTCATCGTCATCATCATCATCATCATCATCATCATCATCATAATCATCATCATCATCATCATCATCATCATCATCATCATCACCATCATCCTCCGCACGGAAAATCGTTTATTATCCCCCCAGACCCCGAACTTTATTATTCCCAGGGGTTCAGGTAGGAGAAGGCCTTCTCAGAAGGCGGCGCGGCTGCTCCGAAGCCTTCAGGGCTTCCGAGGAGCTCTCTGTGTCTTCGAGGAAGGCTCAGGACATGTCTCACCAGGCCGTGGGACGTCCGAGCCCTCTGAGAAGGCCCGACCTCCTTCACTTCCCACCAAGCTCGCCGCCGACTTCAGGGTGCAAGACGGGATGCGGATCCTTTGGCGCGAGAGGGATCGCCAAAGCTTGGAGCGGCAGCGCCCCCAAAAGATGAGGACCGCGGGAAAAGCGCCGACAGAAGAGCAGCGCAGCAGAGTGGCAGCGGATGTTTGAGAGGGCGGGCCGCTTCGGTGCCGCGCCGGAGCCGGCGCGGGTCGTAAAGGGTGCCTTCGGGTTCGCAGCCATGTTCCACATCCTCGTTCCTCTTTCCTCTTCCGCCTCGTCGTTCCTTGTTCCTCTTCCGCCTCGTCCGCAGACAGAATATCGGGAAACAGGAACTGCGGAGGTCGAACACATGCGGGTGAACATCTAACAAACATGCAATGGTTTAGTTTTAGGCGATCGTTGCGCGCTTCGTTCGCGCACCCACTTGTTCACCCCTCCGCGCACCCGCCCCCGCACCGTACTAATCCCTGGGAGTTCCACGTTGAAGTTGACCACACAATTTCTCCCGGACACATCTCGGAGGCTTCTCTGAGGTCTGCTGGGGGCACTGTGCGCAGGGGGCCCGTCGGGGGCCAACTCGGTCGAGGCAGGCCGATCCGCGCACACCGGAGGACCAGCAGGCGGAGGGGGAGGGAGGCAAGCTGCGGAAAGCGCGGGTGCCCGCGGCCCAGGTTCGCCCAGGAGGTGTCCCCGGGGGAAGTTCCAAGGGCATGAGGATGGTAAGGAGCACGACCGATTTTCCAGCCGAGGCGTTACCCCAAGGGCTCAGGGGTCAGCGCCAGAACATGAGCGCCCGTAAAGCGAGCACGACGGTTTGCAGAGCGCATGCAGCACACATGCATGCACCTAAGTTACATACGTGCACACGAACCTGTATATACATTTCTGCAGGCATCATGTAGCGTACATTTCCGTGTGCAGTTATGTGCATCGAAGGAGCGTGCATAAACAGCTTGGAATAGGATTGGAGCGCGCAGGGAAATATTGCGGCTTTCGGCGGTGTACGAGTGGGGGCGGGTCTGTGCTTGTCCATCAGGGGCAACGGGGAGTCAGGTCCTCCCCCCCCCAGCCGATCGTACTTTGCGAACTCCAGAAGCGTCGCTTTCAGACGGAATTTGGCTTGGCCTCTGGTTCGGGAGAAAGTGGCGCTGTTGAGATATGGCATGGACATGGATGCGGAGTTTTCGAGGCAGAACATTCTCAGAATGGGGAGGAAAAGGGCGGATTGTTTAGTGGGGAGCAGGGCAACAGTTTTTGTTACGACAGAGCGGCCATGATGTCGCAGCGTCAGGATTGGGCGAATGCGCGCTGCAATTACAGCGCAAGCTTTGAGATTGCGCCGTGGAGCACGCGTATTGGCGGCCGTGATCAGTCTCTAGACCTCCCTCCTCCTCCCTCCTTCCTCCTCCTCCCCTCCTCCCTCCGACGACTCGATGTTTTCCAGTCGCTGGCCCCCGGAACTCTCGGCCCCCGTGCCAAGGGCCCGCTTTTCGACCCGGGTCCGTCTTCACCGACATCTGCGCGCAGGTTGCCCGCGTAGGGTCGCCCGCAGGCGCCGTCGTCTCCATTGTGGCTTGCCGCGCTGACGGCCCGCACAAGCCATCGCGCGAGGTTGCTACGCCGTCTCGCCCGAGACCAGTCTCCGAGCGTCGCTCGTCAAGCGCGGCGGTCTCGGGTCGCCAGAGATCTGCGTCAAGCGGCCCAGGAGGACGGCGACCTCTTCGAGTTCTGACTCGCCCGGGCTGGCGGCGCGGCTCTGCGATGGCGGTTGGGCCGGGGGCGCACACCGCCAGCCTCAAGTCGGGCCTGTCCTTCTACAGGAGGAACATTTACAAATAGTAGATAGTCTTGGGACAATTTTGTTGACTGAACCTTGATGTATTTTTCGGAGTACTTTTAATTTCTCGAAAATCCGCCTGTAGGGGAAATGCCCGACCTAACGCCAGTCGCGCGCGCGTGCCCGGTCCAGCGGCCCGCGTCGCGCGCACCGCCCTGCGCTCGGCGAGTGTCCGGGCTGCCCCCACGGAGATGTGCAGAGGGCAGTCGGGCTGCAGCAGTCCAGGCAGCAGCGAGGCGGGCGCGAGAGGAAGGGGAGAGAGGATGATGATGATGATGATGCTGATGATGATGATGATGATGATGATGATGATGATGATGATGATGATGATGATGCTGATGCTGATGCTGATGCTGATGCTGATGAGGATGAGGATGAGATGAGGATGAGGATGAGGTGATGATGAGGATGAGGATGAGGATGAGGATGGATGAGGATGAGGATGAGGGATGAGGATGAGATGAGGATGAGGATGAGGATGAGGATGAGGATGAGGATGAGGATGAGGATGAGGATGAGGATGAGGATGAGGATGAGATGAGGATGGAGGATGAGGAGGATGAGGATGAGGATGAGGATGAGAGATGAGGATGAGGATGATGATGATGATGATGATGATGATGATGATGATGACGACGATGACGATGATGATGATGATGACGATGACGATGGCGATGGCGATGGCGATGGCGATGGCGATGGCGATGGCGATTTCGATGGCGATGGCGATGCCGATGACGACGATGAAGATGATGCTGATGAAGATGAAGATGAAGATGATGATGATGATGATGATGATGATGATGATGATGATGATGATGATGATGATGATGATGATGATGATGATGATGATGCTCATGCTGATGATGATGATGCTGATGATGATGATGATAATGGTGGTTGTGATGACGATGAAGATGACGCTGATGATGATGATGCTGATGATGATGATGATGCTGATGCTGATGATGATGATGATGATGATGACGACGATGATGATGATGATGATGATGATGATGATGATGATGATGATGATGATGATGATGATCATCGTGGTGGTGATGATGATGATGAGGAGGAGGAGGAGGAGGAGCAGGGAGGATGAGGAGCAGGAGGAGGAGAAGGCGCGAGAAGAAGGAGGAGGAGAGGGAGGAGGAGAATGCGGAGAAGGGTAGTGGGAATAAACATGGAGGAGGAGGTGGCTGGAGTAGGTGGGGTCGGGGGCTCACGCCACATTGCCGATGCATCGGCGATGCGACGCGATCCAGTGCCTGATGTTCTACATCCCGTCGTCGCCGATGCATCACCGGCACGGCTCGAACTTCCGAACCCATCAACTCCGGCCTAGTTTTCGGCTGCTTCCAAGAATTCTCAAGACCCAGATTTTCAGGGGTCGCGGGGAAAGAAATGTCACGACGGCGGCTTCTAGTGGGGGGGGCTCGTTCGGGCTCTGATGGCCGTCAAGACACGATCAGGGGCGAGTAGGCAATCCTTGGGATGTGGTCCAGAATTCGGAGCTGGAAGGTTGAATTCGTCCTCGGCCCTCGCAGCTTCTCGTTGCCACGCAGGCTCCGTCTGGCCCGGCGTGCTCACCTGGCTTGATCTAGCGCCGTGTTTCCGTACTGCTGCGAGGCAGCTCTTGAACCCAGCTCGATAGCCGCACCCGTGCCCACGCAGGTCAGCGTCGTTTACCCCTGTCTGCATCCCCGTCCAGACCCCCACCATCCCACCACCCTGGTTGGGGATGTGCCCCTCGAAGCTCCAAGGAAACAGCCTATATCCCAACCTCGGGGGACAAATCGGTCAGTGGGGCCCAGGCCACGCCCGTGGGATAGGGATCGGTCAAGCGATGCTCAGAAGACCTGTTGCCACCTCGCTCCCCAGACCCGCGTCGACTCCGTCCGTGCGAGCCCGGCGTTTGGGCCATGACTCGGGCGGGCCTCCTGCCGCCGATAGGGGACGATTCTGACACACCGGGAGCGCCATCGACGGGGCGCAGCTGCCGGGAACCACCACGGCCCTCGCAGAGCTTTGAACAGTTCTGCAACGGTCAAGGGCACACGCCGAGCCGGCCCCAGGAAGCCGCCGCTCGTCCCCCGGGCCAGGCGACGGCGTCCGCAGAAGTGCCTCTGGGTGAATACGGCAGGCTCGCGCGGCGATGGCGCGCCCGCGGCGCCGGCGAAGGCGTTCGAGGTTGAACTCCGCATGATAGAACGACGCGGAAGCACTGAGGGGCACGGCGACGCCCAGGACCCGATGGAATTCAACCTTGAACGCTCGGGGCCGCGACCGATTCAAGGTCGAAGGATCGACGCCTTTGCGCGCGCCCACGCCGTACGAACCTACCGTAGGGCCGAGAGATCGCTGTGAGGCGGGGAGTTCTACACAACCACCGCCTGGAGGATGGATTCCGGAGATCTCGACGGGTGGTGGCTACGGCTATGTCTTTGGGCCCCCAGGGGGCAACACATGTATACATACATATATGTGTATATATATATACATATATACATCCGCCGCCCGCTGGGGCACCAGGGCGTCGGTTCCCACGCGGTGGATGTGGACAAAGCCCCACCTCGCACTCGCCGGGGGCGGCCCACTCCGCGTGCGGATGTGCAGCTTCTGGGAGGTCAGCTTCTGGCCCTCCTGGCCCGAACTCCGGCTTCATCCAGCTGCATCCGGCCGAGTCCCGCTTCGTCCGCGGCCCGATCCGGCGTAAGAGCCGCCCAGTGGGGCCTCATGATCCCAGTCCCTCCGACGAAGACCTCCCAGCAGCTGCCTCCTACGCCACGACGAAGTATGTGGCCCACCCCACTTCACGCCGGAGCCTCGAGACGAGAGCACCGCCGGCCTCGCCTCGGCGGACGCGCGCGCGCGGCTCACCTGTCCGCCCTTCTCTGCCCTCCTGCTGCTGCTCATCCTCCCGCCCGTCTTTCCCGATGCTCTTTCCCCTCCCCTTCTCATCCTCCTCCTCTTTCACCTCCTTCTCTGCATCCTCTTCCTCCTGCTCCTCCTCTTCTTCCTGCTTCTCCGCCTCCTCCCTCGCCACAAGATGAAGTCTGCTGCCTCGCCGACGGCCGATGCGACAGCGTCAGCATGCAGTGCAGCCCGTGCTCTACTCCTTGTCGCCGATCGTCCACCTGGCTGCGCAGCGTGCCAGGGTCCGACGTGTTCTCCCAAGGTACCCTGAGATCCGACGTTGCAAAACAAAATACAACATCGCAGAACATCACGACCCGAACCCCAGACCCCATCTTCCTGCGCCATTTTTCGAGCCCGTTCGATCTGTGAGGGTCCCGAGCCCCCAATTCAAGCAAACACGCCCGTCAGTCAGTCAGTCAGTCAAGCCAGGCGCCCAAGCGGCTCATAGGCAAGGTAGACGGCTGAAACTAACCCAGACGCGTTTGCGACGCAGTCCGCCAAACGTGCTGCTACCTGAAGGGGAGGAGGAGGGGGGGGGCGACGCAATTCGGATAACACGTGCTGGTATACAGAAAATGCCCACTGCAATTTCTGCAGCGCCAGGATCTCAGTGGGTACTGCGACTCCTGCTCCGCAGAACGTCACGACCCGAACCCCAGACCCCATCGTTCAGCATCATCTTTCGAGCCTGTTCGATCTGTGAGGGTCCCCAGCCCCCAATTCAAGCAAAAACGCCCGTCAGTCAGTCAGTCTGTCAAGCCAGGCGCCCAAGCGGCTCATAGGCAAGGTAGACGGCGGCTGAAACTACGCCACGCGTCTGCGACGCAGTCCGTCAAACGCGCTTCTATCTGAAGGGGGGGAGGAGGAGGGGGGGGGGGAGGCGACGCAATTCGGATAACACGTGCTGGTATACAGAAAATGCCCACTGCAATTTCTTCAGCGCGGGGGTACTATTCAATCGGGCCTGTCACTCTACAGGAGGAGGAGGAGGAATATTCAGAAATAGTCAAAAATAATATGGGGACGATTTGTTGAGCACTCTTTGACCCTTTTGGAGTATTTGTTAACTATCTTTTATTTTCCGTCCACAAGTCCTCCTGTAGGGGGACAGGCCCGACGCACTGCGACTCCTGCTCCTCTCCGGGTTGACCCAAAAAGGGGGTCCAGCTGAAAGGGGGTGGCGCAGTAGATTTGGTGCAATAGATTTGTGGTGTTGCAGTACATCTGGGGCGTGCAGTCCATTCCGGGGCGCACATGTATTGCCGGATCTTCGCGCGCAGTACACTACTTGCTACTGCAATGCAATTGTCCGGCGCAGTACGTTTGCAATGCAATGGCCCAAAATCTATGGCACCACCCCTTTTCAACTGGACCCCCTTTTGTCAGGAAGGAAAAACACACAGACACAATGAATCGTCGATTTCCAAAATGAATATAGGGGAAAATATGGGAGCTGGGGAGGGAAGACAAAAACCCAGAACATACTTGAAAATATGGGGAACCCTGTTATTATTGTGTTTATTTCTTTGTGTGTCCCAGGGCCCCTTCATTCTGGGTCACCCGAATCCTCCCTCGCCGCCGCCGGCCCCTCGCTCCAGGCAGCTGGCGGCCGCCAGGCTGGGGGCCCCTCCTGCCGCGCCCCTCCCCCCTCGAGCGGCGGCGAAGCGCCCTGGCCTGCCTACGGGCCCACCCCAGCATGAAGTCGGGCATGTCCCTCTACAGGAGGAGTATGCAAACATAGTCAACAAAATAACCAGGGGACGATGTTTCAAACAATGTTTGTATAACCGCATGCCGATGATAATAAAGGGGCCCCCCCCCCCTTCAGTGGTTAGAGTTGATTATCGTCGCCCTATACAAAATTCAAATTGGGCGGCGAGCGCTGAGGCCGAACTTCATTATCACCTCGGAACGCTATGTTGAGATAGCAACATCAAGCGATGTTGAGATAGCAACATCAAGCGATCTTATTATTCTTCTCTTCTTCTTCTCTTCTTATTATTATTCTACTTTCCTCTTCTTCTTTTATATTTCTATATGTTCTCACGCTCGCCTGAACTTTTTTATCCCTGGGGTTGATTATCCATGGAAAATGCAGCACATGAGCTTCATAAAGCGTTTGTAAATTAAAATTGATAGATTTGGAACTTTGGATTTTTCCTT